TTTATTTCTGGTAACTCAGCCACAGCAGCTTCCAGTAATGCTCATAAAGCTCCTTTCCGCTTGAGAGATGGTGGCTTCCAGGGGCCATCACAGCTAACTCTCCAGTCTGGCTTTCCTTAAAGCATGCCGGTGGGTGCCTGAAATCAATGAGGGAGCAGAGGCTGCCTAAGATCCCTCATAGGAGACACCAAAGATTTCCTAACAGAACCCAGGAGGCACTTCTACAACTCTGAGTAGTAGCAAGCAAACCTCAGATGGTCTGGCCACCGTCCACATATTTGGAAAAGAAAGGGGAAGGATGGCTAATAAAGACTACCTGTCCTTGTCATTCCTCAGATCTGCCTCATCTAAACAGAGATTCCCAAAGACCCACTCTGAGCAGACTGCTCACATCACCTCAGTCCCACCAAGCCCAAGATTAGGCAGCGTCAGCTAAGAACAGTTGCGTCTTTCCCTTATATCTGCTCTAGACTTAATGATGTTTTGCATGTGCACTGCCCCATGGGGAAGCTGTGATGTTGCCTAAAAGACATCTCTCTGGGGAGCTGCAGGAACAAAACTACAGAACATCAAAGCCCAATCTTGCCCAGAGCTGTGGTACAACAAGATGACGTGGCTTCATGCTATAAAAATGCCACCAGGGCCACACCAAGGTGGAGCAATAGAAGCTGAAGTCATGGTCGAGGCAGCTACCACAAACCGTTCTCTCATTGTGCCATCACTGATCATCACTGATCATCAGATCACAGCAGACTGCACAGGGTTTCTCCTGACCACATGGGTCCAGCTCCTCACTGCTGTCTTTGGCCCTGGTCAAAGACAATTTGGATCTTGGCACTAAGTGGCTAAACAGCACCACCTGGGGCACTTGATGGAGCATCTGGCAAACGCTGCCTGTTTGTTATTAAAGGTGTGACATACATCCTGCACTTTAGTGTTCGGCTGGGTTCCAGGGTTGCACAACAATCCCTGTTATCTGCCTGGAGTTTGGCACCTTGGCATGTCAGCCTGTGTCCCCTTCACCAAAGGCTGAAAGATGTGACACAGTAAAGTTTCTCTGCGTTTCCCTACCCCATTCATTCCAGGACCACACTGACCTTTTTTCCCCCACCTCAAGCTACTGGCAAGGCTACGGTGTTCCCTTGCTTGAGTTCACTTGCTTTTCAAGTGACTCTCTCTTTTTCTTCCTTTCCTCTTCATTTTGAGGCTCAGAGCTAATCACAAGGCTCTGATGAGGAAGGTAGCACCAGCACAGGGAAAGATGGAGCAGTGAGGAAAGTCAAAGACCCTGCTCATGCCAAGCATCCTCAATGGGCGGCTTCCAGCCCAGGGTACCCTGTGGCTGTAGCAGGGAGAGAAGGAAGCTCATTCACAGCTGACATGGAAATTGTGGAAATCAGCATAGAGCACATCCTTACGCTGTCCAATTCTGGGCTGTCTTTGGGGCAGTCATTTTGAATGCTGAACTTGTCTCTGAATTCCCTGCCAAGTTTCAGTCATGGGGATGAATAGAGAGAGAAATACATACAGTGAAAGGAGAGCAAGGCAAGGGGAGGGGAGATATGTTATCTTTAGAATGTCAACTGGGGAGAGAAGTGCCCGAGCACAGGAAGGCAAGCAAAGCAATATGTGCTAGCAAGAGGCTTCTCTTCAAAGCCAGCCAGAGACAACACTGGACAAGAATCTGAGGTGCTAAAGCAAGGGCAAAGAGCCCCTGTGGGGAAGGCAGAAGAAGGCAATAAGGTGCATCAGAATTTTTTAGCACCTTCCTCCTCACAGAGCTCCAGCAAGCAGGAATATCAAGAAGCCTTTCAGCTCCAGAAAAGTCAGTGAGGACTGAGAGCCAGCAGAGATCGAACATATGCCATTTCTATGTCCACTGCTTACCCTGGGCTGGGATCCTCTCTGCCTGCTAGGGCTGGTCCCTTAGTGGGACCCCACCACCTTTCCTGCTCATGCCCTCCACATCTGCCTTCCCTGGCACTGCTGCCCTCTCCCTGTATCAGTGTGGGCTTGCAATGAATGAACCTTGAATGTACTATGTCCTCTGGCAGCGACAGAATTGTTCTCAGCTGTGCTGGAGGTGGCCTCCTCAGGCCAAGTATCTCTGTCACATTGGCATCTTGCCAGCCCAGGACTCAAGTGCAGCCCAGCCTAGGCTCCCCCAGACCTGGTCACCTCCCTGCAGACCCACAGCACCGCTGCAGCCTCAGTGCTAGCAGCAGGGCAGGGAGAGCTTTCTGGGAGGAAAAGGGGAAAAAAAAAAGCAGAAGCTGGCAGAAAGAGATGAGCTGGTGTCATCTGCCGTGTCACCTCTTTGTGAAGGCTTGGCTTCCTTTATGTTCAGTTCCACAAACAGCAGCAAATAGTAAGTAAGCATTAATGTTAATACTGGTGCTTTGATTATCGTTACTAACAACATACTTGAGGACTGGAGGAAAGCCTCTTAGCAGATCCAGTACAGTCAAAGAGAGAATGAAATGCTCCCCCTGCCCTGCACAGTGCACAAGGAGAGCTGTGCTCTCGCTGTTCCCCTGATTTTATTCAGCCCGTGGTGCAAGGCTCCTCTCCACAACATGCCAAAGTGCCTCAGTCCCCGTGCACAGGGCCAAGCCCTTGTGGCAGCGCTGAGTTGGCCAGAGAGCTGAGCCAGCGGCCAGCGAGAGGAAATGAATCCCCAGGCCCCTCAGCCACAATGCCGTTAGAAGCTAACGGGGGAAGTTTATTAAAAAATAATAGCGGCGATAAAAAGGAGGCAAGGAAGCCGCCTTGGAAGCCGTTCAACCACGAGGCCCCTTCAAATGCAAACACCCGGCAGCCTCCCCCGGCTGCACAGCACTACGGGCCGCAGCCATCGGCTCTGCTGAGGTCCAGCGCCAGATCACTTCTGATCAAAACCAGCCCCCACCAGCACTGCTGGGAATGAAACACATCCCCTCACCGCCTTCTGCCAGCACTGGTTCCAGCCTGGCCAGCGATGAATGAAAGCATTTCACAGAAGCTGCCAGTGCCGCTTCCCAGCAGTTTTCCTCCCTGCAGCTGGGGATTCCCCAGCGCCTGCCTGAGGCTTGCCCAGTGCCCGCTCCCTGCAAGGCAGCAGTGGGACCCTCCCAGCCTTCCATCCATACTTTCTTTCACTTTGTTTACAAACAAAGCACAATCCGAGGCTCAGGGTGCAGCCTGGGGCTCCCCCAGATATCACAGGAATCTGATCTGACATTCCCCAAGGAACATGCACCTTGTGATGCTATTTCCTGTGCTCTCCTTTCCCCACATCCCCTTCAGCAACACCACTGGAAAGGGTGACACCTCCAACACCCCTCTAGCCCATCTTCCAGCTGAGGAGCCAGAGTGTGACCAAGACCCATGAGGGCCTCCCACTGAGCAAAGTACAGTGCTCAGTTTTCATTACACTTACAGCACATCGCCCTATAGCAAAGCTCTCCATGCAGGAGAGAGTTCAGCACATCCCACTGTAGGGGCAGTACATTCAGCTGGGGCTTCTGGGGCTCAGAATGTCTCAGAGCAGAGCCATGGCTGCAGCTGGGCCACCATCAGTGTACTGGGTTTGGCTGGGACCTGCTTGACAAGATGACACTGGAGACTGTCCTGCAGCTCGTTAAAGCACACTCTCACACTGAGCCCAACATGCTCAGGCCCGATCAACCTTTGGGAGCTCTAGTAGGTGCTCCAGGTGGAACCTCTGGAGGGGCTCATGAGCATGAATTGTTCCCACAATGATCAGACCCCCACACATCTTGCTGTGAGCACAGCCAATGCGAGGGCAGAGCACACCAGCTCAGGTGCCCCATGCATGTAACCATCTTTATCTCGCTGGTCCTGGAGGAGAAGCTACACCAAAAACAACCAGCTAATGCTCACCCAGCAGATTTCCCCTCCCGCACGCAGCTCTCTCTGCCCTGAAGAAGGTGGGCCTGAAGCATAACCCTCACCTCCGAGTGCAAGATTCTTCCCTCAGGCAGGCACGGGCTCTTTGGAAGATCACCATTAGACGCAGGTGAGACCGGATTAGCCCTCACCATCTGCCAGCTCTGGCCACCCGCATCCATTAGGAGCTTCCTCCCTCCCCAGAGGGCTTTCCAGACCCCCCTGAAAGCTTGCCAGGGATGCTGAGGCAGCACCAGAGGTGGCAAGAGCTCCATCTGACAGCCTATGACATACTAATCCTGGGATTAACTGGAGTTCAGAGGTTAATTACAAAGGTGTGGAGAGGGAGGGGGAGAGAAGAGGGGCCACAGAAAGACCCAAAATAACTCTTCCATCTAATAAACAAGTCTGGACCCAAGCTGATGCATTTTTAGAAAGACATCATGAAGAAGGCGATGCTCTGGGAAGATATGTTCTCTCACCTGAGGCTGGAGGGATCACCCCAACTTGGTCACCCTGATTCCTGACCCATCTTTGGTTAGCCACCAAGCAGTTCCCAGAGCGCAGTTTGCAAAGCTGATACAGCCTTCCCACAGAAGTGTGAGAACTAAACCCATTGGAAACTGTGCATGGCTCCAGCACAACCCAGGCCAAGCAGGAACATGAAGTGGGGGCACAAGGAGTAAATACCTCAGTGGGAGGGTGGCAGGATTTACGAATCTTCCCACCCAGACTGATTTCAGACACTCCTGCAGTGCAGAGAGGCACCATGCAGGGAGACCTGAATAGGCTCCCAGGCTGGAAGCTGCATAAACACTTCAACCTCAACTCATTATCAGAAAACATCACTAATTCACTCCAGCACCATCCTAAGTGTGGTTGTCTGGATTCCAGGCCACAAAGCAGCTATATCCACAGTACACTACTCTGCATTAAGTAGCTGTATGCAAAGAGAGATGCCCGGGTGCTCCGCAGGGCAATTCCTGCACAACCCACTGAGACCTGCTGACCCCAGGAGGGATGATGAGGTCTCCCCTAAGCAGGAATTCCACGGGACATCAGAGGAGATGATGCCAGTACGCCACCAGCTTTCTGGCACGCCCTTCTCCTACCCCATCACCGCCATGTCCCCAAGGATTCCATCAGAGGTGTCACCAGTCAGGAACTGCGGCATACAAGTACACATCTGGAAGGAGTTAGATGACGAGAGCCTCTGCCAGCTGTCTTCATTTAGATTTGTTCATACTTGGAAGCGCTGTGCAGCGTGATCTGTAAAATAAAAAGTTACACTGATTGACATGAGCTGAGGGTTTCCTCCGAGACGCTCCCTGCCCCCATCATCTCCGCCTGGGAAGCCAGCATTAACGCTTATTACATCCTGGACGCCGGCAGCGTACAGCAGAGGAGGCCATGCAAAAACAACGAGGGCGCAGCAGTCAACCATCGCCTCTCTTCCTGCTACAGCGCAGCCAGCCCCAGCACGGGTAGGGCATCTGAGGGAATATTCCTCTGCCTAACACCAGGGCAGCCCTAGTGATACGCCAGGGGGCCCCACTGGGAAGCCAGGACCCGTCCCTGGGAGATCTACCCCCTGCTGGGTGCAGCAGCACAGGAGGTCCTGGGGGTTGCTGGGCTCCCAGTTCTTACCCTAAGGGACAGAGAAGACACAAACCTTGTCACGACCACAGCTTAGGCGTCCCTTACCCTGAGTTTAACATTAAACATTTAACATTTGCAATACCGCTGAGCTCAGGAAGGGCTGCAGAGCTCACCAGGAAACAGATGGGAAACACCAGGAAACAGCTCAGAGAACCTCCTGTTTCTATTACTTACACACATTTCTCACCTGAAGCTATTTCTACAGCTTTGCCTCTGGGTATAGGAGAGATTTGACAAAGGCTGAAGCCAGACAAAAGAGTCTACCAAGAAAGCAGTGTCTAAGCTGTCACTGATTCTTAATGGGTTTGTCAACGCATTGGAATCAGCTGCTCCCAATCTGATAATCTCAGTCCCACACACAGAGCCAGGGACTGCTGGGAAAACAACTGATCCATTTCAGGATCCCTGGGGTTGAATCCTTCCCTTGAAAAATGAAGAAAGAATAGGACAGAAGCTATCAACCGCTGAGATGGAGCTCTACATCCCAAGCAAAAGGATGCTGCTTTGCCAAAAGGCAGGCGGGGTGATGGGGAGGAGTGATGATGGAAGTGTATGTACTGCATGACAGCACTGTACCTATGCAGAGCCTCCCTCTGCTTCTACAGGGCACATGTGATCAGCTCAAAAGCAGCACAGAGTGCTTGCATCAGAGCCTGTGCTATAGCCTCATCTGTGTGACACACAATCTCCCAACAGGGCTGCCAACGCTGGGCCCCAGCCAAGAGCTTGCATTCTGAGGGACATGTCTTCAATTAAAGTCTTTTCTTCCCCATTTTGTTTAAAATTGGGGTTGAGCTGCTTCTAAACAGATGTGTTGGGGAAGCCAAAATATTTGCCTTTCTGCTGGCTGCTTGTTTGGCATCCACACGTGGCCATTGCCAAAGTACTTGTCCCTCCCACTCCCTTGGAGTGAGAGGCACCCTCCCTGTGCTCACTCAGAGGGCCAAACGCATACAGTTCCACGTTTCTCCAATGTCTTACCTGCAGCCCAGGCAGCCGCCACGACTGTTGGGTGCTGCAGATAAGATACACCGCACACAGGGAGCAGCAACCCAGGACATCTGTCCATGTGCTCACTACAGCGACCAGCCCTCAAAATGCAGCAAAACACCCCAGGGACTCCCCACCTGCTCAGGGACATTCTAGAAGAGTGGCTGCTCTACCAGCCCCCTGCTGTGGTTACCACTGTGTGCTTCCTAAGCCCATAGCTATGTTAGCAGCGCTACCAGCAGCCAAGGTTGGAGATGGGGAAGATCAAGGTGACCACCAGTGAGAGAAGCAGGGGCTCAGTGCACCTCCGTCACTCATTCTGGCTCATCTTAGCACGTCTCAGAGACTATTTCCAGCTGCAGAGAAGTTTCTCTGCGTGCAAACTCCTGTGCCCTGCACAAGGAAATCCCACCACAGGAACCTGACCCCCATGACGCAGAGGACAGACAGCCGGAGGGGCCGTTTACGTGCAGTCTGTGATGAGGGCTTGCAGGCGCACCGCTTGCCGTGCGGGGCCGGGCTGTGCAGCGTGCAGACACCCCGTGACTCAGAGCATCCTCACCAGCATGGCATCCAGCCCAGGCTGCAGCTGGGGAGCCTGTCTGCATCACGACGGGATGCAGGGGAAGCCCCTGCTGGTCTCACCCTCTCCTTTGGAGGCGCAAGGAATAGGATCACCACAACCCCCGTGCTCCGCCCCCCTCATTGGTGCAGACACAGATCCTTTTGGGCAGGCAGAAAGCCACAGCCACTTTTGGAGTCAGGAATGGGGCTGTCTCGCCAGACATCTCGTTTCAGCTCTTCAGCATGCTCTTGCCACCTGCAGAGTTAAACTCAAGCTCCTGCTCACATGAGTGCTCTCAGCAAGGCTCCCCAAGCCCGACACGCCAGCTTGACCCTGCAGCAAGCTAATAACCTGTGGAGAGGGCATTAAACCAACTTTTACGCTTGGGAGCCAGATTCAGCCCTACTCAGTCACGCACCTGAACACCCATCCATGATGCAGACAACCGTTGTTGCCAGGGCTTTCAGGCTATAAATGCTCCTGGCACATCCCCTGGCCAAGTCTGAGAGGCCACAGTGGGAGGCTCGTGTTTTAGCCATTGCTTTTGCTAAGTAATAACCTGGTGGGAAGAAATACTGGCACGGGCTCATCCCATCCCCAACTGAACCATCCGTGTCTCCTTACACCATTTCTTCCTCTCCCAGGCCCCTGTTCTCTCACTTGTCACTGCCTGGGTCTGAGTGTTCAGGAAGGACCTGGATCTCTTAAGGCCAAAACAATCCAGTAAGGTTAATCCCTAGTTCCCACCATCAGCTCTTTGATCCCGCTCAGGAGCTTGCTCTTCCTGGAGGCTTCTGTCCCACATATCTCCCAGCAGCCTACTGCTCAGCAACAGAACAGGAGGATCAGGAGCTGACCTGGAAACATGTCTTTTGCTGTAGTTTCACAGTCCGAACTCATGCGCTTCTAAGATTCACTTGGTCTCTGTAGGCTTCAGTGCTTCTGTCTGCTACTTCACTGAAGCATGACCCAGGCTTAGCTGCACTTGTTCTACAGCAGCAGACTTGAGCTGACAAGATACCACAGTGCTCAGAAGTAAGAGAATTAGCTTCAATAACAGTTTAAATGTCAAATTCCCGTATGGGTCTGACTTGCAGTGTCCCCCAGATGGAGGCTTGCTCTGGACTTAACATTCAGGTTCTCATACATCTTGAAGCTTCTTGGAGCACCTTGCAGCCCAAACACTCAGCGTACTGGGACCTGCATTTCACAGCAGAGAAATACAAACAATGAAATGGGGCTCAGTGGTCAGGAAGAAGGTGCACAACCTGGGTGAAGATGTCCCCATAACTCCCTACCCATTCCCTTCACCAAGGTCCTTCCTCCACTCCTTTGTCCATTCAAGGTCAAGGAAAGAGGACATCAGCACAGCAGCCGTAGTCACAGAATAAGATCCTAGTTACATCCTGTAGGCCCCTCGCTACTCAATCCAAAAGAAACAAATTTCCACCACAGCTTACAGGAACATGGCTGGGATCCATTTATTAACCAGGTTGAGGTTCTTCCTCTCCAGTGCTCCCTGTCCGACACATCAGGAGATCAGAAACTCTCCCTTGCTGTCTGGCCCTCAAGCAAATCATGCGAGTGCAAAAGGAGTGAGATATAAATGTGCAAAAAATCTGCTGATCCCACGGCCAACCCACCACTAACTCCTTCGAAGGGTGGGCCCTTGAAGAAAGGGCACATAGCACAGAATAGCCTCAGTTTCTTGCCTGAGCTTAGATCACTGTAGACTCTCTCTTGAAGGGCCAGCAAATACACAATCACATTGTGAATCCACTGTAGCACATCTGTGACCCACCTGCACACAAATGGCAGCACTGATAGCATTCTGAGCATCCCAAAGGAGAGGAATTACCAGCCCATGTGTACTGCACAGGCTACCCCTCTGGCTCTGAACAAGGACTCAGGGCTTCCCTCCTAGCCTTTCAGGTGGGATGTGGATGGTTCCCCAAAGGCAGGGCCCTTGAGAGGGTCCCTTCTCAGCAGGGCTTAGTGCCCATACAGATCCCACAGGAGTACAGGTGAGGAGGGGGGATAGTGGCAAGGCTTTGCCTGATCCCTGGTCACCACCAGCTCACTCACAACCATGTCATGGTCCCCCAGACCACGACACTTCAAAGAGTGCTCCCCACTGAACACACAGTAGGATGAATTCCTTTCTTCTTAGTAGAAGTGTCTTTTTTTTTTTTAACGAGAATTACCCCGTTTCCTCAGTACCTGGGATTTATGACTTTGATTGCCCAATGCTTGTCTGATGAGCTTGAAAGGAGGAGGAGGGAGGTCAAGCCAGCCTCCCCAGAACTAATGAATATCATCTCAAAATAACCTCAAAGATGTCATGAAGGTCTTCCCCGAATCATTCTCTGCTCAGCTTGACGTAGTCATCCAGTAAACATGCCAACCATCAGCCCAGCAGTGTCACACACCGTATGTCCCAACTGGTTACTCACATATGCTACTCTTAGTTTTACTAGACAGCATTTACATCTTCATCACAGCATCAGAGTGGGACTGTTTTTTCCAGTCTCTTCTGAGTCAGTGGTGAGCAAGTGGGATGTGTGGACAGTGTTTGGTGATGGTATGCCATGTATACGCAGATCCGGGAGAATAATTAGGTACATGGCCACACTGTAACCTCAGCCTTCCTCTGTGGTCCCACATTCAACCTGGAAGCCAGAGAGCCAGAGCAGAGCTAAGCCCCACTGAACCCAGGTGGAAGAGAGCTTTGGTTTGAATGCAGAGCTGGGGAGAGGAACTCCTATGTTCCCTGCAGCACTCACTGCCCCATGCCTTACGGTACAGGTGAATGATGGTGAGACGACAAGAGAGTGGGAAGGATATCAAATTCCCAAGGCTCTGCACTGCAGAAACAACATTAATAAAAATCTCTACTTAGTTTGTATAAGACCCCTTGTCTTTCCTCTACCCTTCCATACCCTCAATCTTTATCTCTTTCTCCCTCTCTGATCCCTCCAACCTGTACTCCCAAGAAGAAGGTTACGATAACAGCGAGGCTGGATAATATCACTGCTCTGATGCCCAGAAAGCCTTT